TTCTCAGTCTCATTTTTCTACCTTTCCTGTAATTTGCCTTGTGCTGCCCTGGCTCGCAGGAGACTAGGACTTAACTGCAGAGGTTCTAGTAACGCCCCCTTTCCCTGTTCTCTACACTGCTGTCCAAAGGATCATCTTGCAGAGCCTCCTTTGGAGTCCACATTTCTAGTTAAATGGTTAAGCCAATAAAATAACCTAGACCAAGCTCCACTGCATGCAGAAAATACAGCTGCATTTGAAAAGAAAGACTGGAGAGGGTCTAATTTCTAAAAGGAATAAAGATTTAAAGCTACTTCAGCAAGAGGCTGAGTGCTACACTATCATCATCATCATCATCATCATCATCATCATCATCATCATCATCATCATCATCATCACCGTGTTAAGTGTCTGCCTGTCCTTGGTTAAGAAGAACTGAAAGCAGCAGGCGTCAGTGCAGTCCCTGCCCCAACACCAAGCCCATGTTAGGTATACCTGCTTCCTGTTGAACTCCTTCACAGCTGCACAGACAGCCTTCCTGGTGATGCTTTCCAGCTTCTGCAGGTGACTGGCTGTCTCATCAAAGTTCAGCCTGGTCTGTGTGTAGTGGTCCTCTGCAAGGACACAAGCCCCCATCAGAGCAAGCACGCCCACCCAGAACACCCTCCCAGGTGCGAGGAACACATGCAACATGGTTGCTCACATGCTCACCTCTTGCCATGACCTCAACTATGGGCAGGACAAGGGGCCTAATAATAAGGATCTGCTTCCAAAGGCAGTGAGAGTTATATGATTTAATTCAAGTACAGATCTCAGACCTTAGCACTCAGTGAGAGCTGGGATCACATCTACAGATTGGTAATGTCGATGATGGATTGGAAATGTCTACAATAGATTGGTGATGTCTGCTGTGGTGCTGGGCTGGTCGGTGCTCTTCCCCTTGCTATCCCAGCTCTATCAGGAGGCAGCAACCTCCTTAAAGTGGGCAAGGGGTGGTGGGAACCCACGAAAAGGGGTTGTAGAGACTAGAAGGACTCAAAGAGGAAAGGGTGCTAGATCACAGGTGTGTGTAAAGTAGCAAGAGGACTTTCCCAGGCCAAGATGATGATAATGAGGAGGAAGATGGGGAGAAGTCAGACAGAGCAGCTGCTTCCCGGCCCAGCCACTTCCCTGTTCTCTTACACGACTATTTCTTAACTTCTCAGATCCTCCATGGCCTTGCCTGTCAGACAGTGTGATACCTACTCTGTCTGAGGTTGTTATGTTTTTAAAGTTATTGATTGGTCATTTCTGATTTTTGTACTTGTGCCTGTAGTTCTCCTTGTTACATCCAAAAACAAGGAGCAGACTCTTAGCCTTGAACTTCTGGCCTCTGCTCCCCTTCAGTCTCCTCTGACCCATCTTTTGTTCATTCAGCCACTAAGCAGATAGTGAATGAGGGCCTAGCACGAGCCACCCACATTGCTGGGGACAGGGACACAGTGTGAGCAAAGCCAGAAGGGTTTTTCCTGCCTTCCTGGAACCTGTCTAGAAGATGAGACAACAATCAATATGTGAGCCCCCAAATATATGTATGAAACAAAATGTGACCGCCTGCAGGGGAAAAGAACAGGAGGTGAAGGGAAGGTGTTGGGAACGCCCGGCTGAGGTGACTGATAGGGACATGGGAATGCTTCTCTGGGAAGACATGCACTTTCAGACCCGAATGGCAAAAGGAGCTGGCTGGGGACAGGCTGAAGATTCTGAGGTGGACAGGATCTGGGATCTAGAAGTGAAGGAGCCAAAATGGCAGGCACAGCAGAAGTGGGTGAGTGGCGAGAGTTGCTATGGGGAGGGGGGGGCAGTGACCCAGCATGCAGAGCCTTGGGGGGCCACAGTCCATTCCACGTGCCGCGGAAGCCATCACGGGGCTCTGAGCTAGGACGGAAGGAGTCAGTGTGCCACTGTTCAGCTTGGCGTTGTTAAGCAGAATCACCAGGGGAGGGGAAGAAAAGGGGGTGGAAGGCAATTAGAAAGCTAACCGCAGTGGTCTGTCTCGGTGAGAAAAGAAGGTGGCTCAGGGCTGGGGATTTAGCTCAGTGGTTTTGCCGCCTGCTGCGCAAGCACAAGGACTCGACTCCGATCCCCAGTACCAAAAAAAAAAAAGGTGGCTCAATCACAATGGTGGTAAGACCAATGCAGAGAAGTGCACAGTTCAAAATACATGCAGGAGGTGAAAGGGACAGGAGTTGAAGACTGGAGACGGGAGATCAAGGGACTCTCAAGTTTCTGGGGTGCTGAGGCTCAGGGGAGCCATTACTGAGTGGAGGAGGATGGAAGAGGGCAGACCCAGAAGAGGAGCTCAGCTTAGTTTCCACTGTGCTCTGAAATGTGTGGGGAGATATCAAGGAGGCCACTCAAGTCCAGGACCAAGGCTCTTGGCCAGAGACAGAAGTTTGGAGCAACTGGGAGACAAACAAGAGGGGGCTGCTCCCACAGACATTTACATGCTAAGAACTAAGCATCTAGCAGTGAACAGAACACACAGCAATCCTTGGTCTTCACTGAGCTTTGGATATGACATGAGGGAGAGGGATGGCAAGTACATGAACTATACAGTATGTTGTGACTGAGGTGATGGAGGAGCCAGGAGTGGGATGGCTAGCAGTTTGAGGTCGGCCTGGGCTACACAGTGAGTTCAAGACCAGCCTAAACTACATCGTGAGACCCTGTCTCGACAGACAGACAGACAAAAGGCTATGGAGAAAATTAAGCAAGGAAGGTGATAGGGAAAGTAGGGATGGGTCAGGCACAGGATTTAAAATGGGTGGGTCAAGGGAGACCTCACTGATAAGGTGACATTTTAGCCAACACCTGACAGAGGGGTAAGCAAGGTAGACACCTGGAGAAAGATGTCCCTAAGCAGAGGGAGCAGCAGGTGTCTGGCACACCCACGTCCTAGGAACAGCACAGAGGTGGTGTGGAGGATCGGCAGGGTGTGGGCCAGGGATGAGGCCCAGCTATGAAGGGCTTGTAGATCCCTGAGATGAACTCGTGATGATGTGCAAGATTACTGAATCTAACTTCACTTTCATAGTTCTTCTCCGGCTGCTGGCTCGAGGGGACACTGCGGGGATACAGGTGAAAGCAGAGACCAGCAAGGGGCCATCGCCACACCTGAGCTGAGAGACAGTGATATAGCTTGGTCCAGAGTGACAATGGGGAGGTGACAAGAGTAGCTCAAGTTGATGATATGCTGGTGGACTATGTGACCTCTAAGAGGAAAGAATCCAGAGGACTTGGGGACCAGAGACAATTGGAAGAATGGACTTGCACTGTGGCACATGCACAGTCAGGCTACCTGGGAGGACCAGCGTGTCACTTGGCTTGTCTGACTGTGACATGTTGGTGAGACGCCCTGGGTAGCGCAGTCAGATGGATTTATGAGTCTGGATTCAGGGCAGAGTCCTACTCAGACATGCAAGCCTGGGAAAGGACAGCCTGTACCCTGGTTTGTAGATGAGACCACCTGGGATGCACGAAACTGACAGAGGACGGGCCCAGAGAGCACTGGTATGACAACATCCAGGGGCTCAGAAGACGAGAGCTGGGCAGGAAGAGGACAGGCGTGGGTGCGCTGTGCCGGAGGCCAGACTTTATGCTATTTCACAGAGGAAGAGGTGACCAATGGTGTCAGCTGGTGCCAACAGGCCGATGAGGTGATGTGGAGGTCACTGGTGAGGTGGGTGAGGGCATCCCTGGTGGAGGGCGAAGACTCAGGAGAACAGGAGATGATCTGGGAAAACATCTCTCACGGAGAACAGAGTAGGAAGAGGAGGCTGGAAGAAGTCAAGCTCAACAAGGAGACTCCAAATTAACAACCAGAGAAGAGGGGCTGGGGAGGGCAGGGCACTGCTCCCCATCCTGGCACCTCCTTCCATCTGCACCACAGCCCTTCACTATTTTGTCACCCACTGATCTGCCCCACAAGAGCAGGGATGTTGTCCTGTTCCTGGCACAGGAAGTGACCAGGAGGACCGGATACTCCCGAGACTGCCTGCAGGGCAGGGTACCAGTGGCCCCAGTGACAGCAGGATGTCACTGGGCTGTTTCATGCCTCGGAGCCTTGGCCTGAGAGGTGCTCTAGGCGTTCGGAGTCCTGGTGATATCACGTGACTTCCACCCAGCACCCGGCAGATTGGGGGGAACCTGTGTTTCTGTTCATCTTCTGAGCAGAATGTGAACATCATGAGGGCCGAGACCAACTCTGGTGAACTGAGCCGCAGCATCCTACATGCTCAGAAGGGTTTTCTGTGCATGCATGAGTGGAGATGTCTGACTTCTCCTGGACCTCAGGATCTGACTTTTCTTTCCCCATATGCCAAGGCAATACACGGTTATGCACATTAGAAAAATTTTTTAAATACCCACAAAAACTGAGCATAGTGGTGCAGGCCTATGATCACAGCGTTTTGGGAAGCTGAGGCAGGAGGACCTCAAGTTTGAGCCCAGCATGGGCAATTTAGTGACTTAGTGAAACTCTGTCTCAAAATACAAAATAAAAAGGGGGTGGGGGGTGTAGCTGAGTGTGAAAGGCTCTGGGTTCAATCCCAAGTAACAAAAAACCAAAACTGAAACAAATCCAAAAACTGGAGGGGTTGATTCGTTGAAGAAACCATTAAGATCAATTCATCTCTCTTTCATCACCTGCAAATTTCTGGTCAGCACGGGCCCTCTCCCATTCCCTGTGCTGTTGTAAGGACCATTCTCTCATCTGTTCTTCTTGGAATTTCTTCCTCTCCTGGAAGTTTAGGTCCTCGCCCATAAACTTCTGCATCCCTGATACTGTGTTCCGGACGTCACTGTCTGACTGCCGGGCTGGAAGCTCTTTCTTAAGGGCTAGAGGGTCAGACAGATCAAACTCACGGCGAGTTTCTGGCTTCTGACAGTTCTGTTGGAAGTCACTGATAGCTCTGCAGAGACATTTTCTATCTCTCTTCTCCCGGTCGTCTAATATGCAGATGACCTTGTCATTTTGCCTCAATTCGGCAGCTAGAAAAGACATAGCACATCCATAAGCTTAAGAGGAAAAATTTTTAAATAATTTGAATGATATTTAAGTATTATAACCTTCCAAAAAAGGTAACACCCATTAAAGGATTACTATTCTAAATATACAAAGAACACCCACACATTGTTTTAAAATAAACAGCCTAACCAAAAAGTGAGCAAAGAATAGCACCAGGTACACCAGTATAAAGAAACATAAGCATTCAATAAAGTTGTGAAAGGATGCTTAATCTTCCCATCTTGCAAAATGGGAAACATCCCATGAACTGAAGGTAAAATTCTTCAAATGCTAATAATAGTATCTATTATGCTATATGTGGGGAAACAGGATCTCTCATTCACTATTATTTTGGACGTAAAAGAGGGCAAATTAATTCTATTTCAAATTTTGATCTAAGACCTACAGCACCATTACTAGACTCATGTCTGTCAGGTTGAATCATGTGCATCAGCTCAGGGGTGGGAACGCAGGTGTGTGTGTGTGTGTGTGTGTGTGTGTGTGTGTGTGTGTTACTTGGTGTAAACAGGGCAGAGAATGTGTGTTTAAGGCTTTTCTAGTTTTTAAAGGAAACAGAGGGAAAAATAATTTAACCTTAAAATATATCTTCTATGACCTACATTAGAATTCAATAGCTGTTTTTCTTTTAAGAGAGGAAGAGTTTGCTCATTAGGTTAACTGAGAACAAGAAATTATGAAATTTTAAAAGGAGGGAAAGCATGAAAATGACCTCCTCTCTTTCCCTGGTCTCTTCTCGCCCCTCCCTACTTCCTCCCCTTTGCCCTTCCCTTTCTCTTTCTCTCTGACTCTTTTTCTGTCTTCCTTCCTTTTTAAAGTGCTAGAGATTGAACCCAGTGCCTTTTGCATGCTAAGTGGGTACTTTACCACTCTGGTACATCCTAGCCTAACAACTTTATATATATAATATACCATAAAGAAATGAGGTATGGAACCTATCCCTGAACCCAGACAGGTGTTCAGGAAATCCTCACCAAAGGTTTCATGCCTAGCTTTTTCAGTTGCTTCTTTTATCCTCTGGTCATGAACCTGAATATCCCAGGCTTGTGTGTCTCCCTGAGAATGAAAAATTGGGGAAGAGTGGTTAGAACCCGCATACATTATCAAGTAGCTAACAAGCCTCATCTTTTTAGCCTTGTCCTCCTGTAAATAAGCTGTCTTAGGTGTACTTTCAGGCCTTTCCACGTGCAGATGCCTTTGCTAATAGCTGGTTCTTCAGCCTGTGCTCCCCACCTTCCCCAGAGCTCCTTTCCTCTTTCTTAGGTAACATTCACTCTTCTGTCCCTAGCCAGGTGCTCCTCCCTCGCAGCACTGACCCTCCTTCCCTGGGCCAAGACTTCTGCATGCTCAGGGATGCCTGATCCCTCATGCCCTGGGGCTGGCTCAGACTTGCCACCAAACAGGAACTCCACGGCGTTTATCAAATGAATGGGCTGGAAAGAACGAGCCCCCGGCACTGTAGTGAATCTGGCTCAGAGACTGAAAACCGTATTCTACATAACTTTCTCGCTCCTCTACCTACTCCTGGCTCTTTCCCCCATCCCCATCCCCATCCCCATCCCCATCCCCATATGCCATCTGGCAGGGGTGAGGCTACACTATTTGGCTTGTTAAAGCTCTCTTACCTTCTTCCTTCGAACTATTTTTCTGTGCACCCCAGAAAAACACGGTGCGGTACAACTCTGCCCGAATCAAAGGCTCATCCCAGACTTCTCCTCGGGTCTCTCCCGCCACCTACCCCCTTGGCCCTTCCCCTTCCCCCTCAGGCTCCCGGCCTCACCCCAATGATCCGGTTCCTGGCGTTGAAGACCCGCTGCTGCTTGCACAGCTCCGCATGTGTCCTCTTGGCCAGCTTGGCGTCCTGCTCCAGGTCCTTGGCCAGCACTGCCTTCATTGCTCTAGAAAGCGACTCCAAATTCGAAGGGGTTTTTATTTATTTGTTTTGTTTTGTTTTTGGTACCGGGGATCGAACTCGGGTCCTTGCGCTTGCGCAGCAGGCAGCGAAACCACTGAGCTAAATCCCCGGCCCCTGGAAGGGGTTTTTAGAACAAGCAAGGTAAGAACTCTCAGCACAAAGCAAGCTGCAGCCCAGGAGAAGATGGCTGCCTGGGACTTCGCGGATTTACCGCTGTGTGAAGACTCGCTTCCTAGGAAACGCCAACTCTGGTTGCTAAGGAACGGCGTACGCTCCTGCCGCTGTTGTCTCGCGAGATTTGGCCGAGACTTGGCGTGCGCCTCCCGCGCTTTTGGAGCCTCCTCGTGAGGACTCGGGCGAGGCGTGAAGGCAGACATGGGCTACCTGAAGGTGTTGCTCGTGGAGAACTTCAAATCCTGGCGGGGTCGCCAGGTCATTGGGCCTTTCGAGAGGTTTACGTGTATCATCGGCCCCAACGGCTCCGGTAACGGGCGCCGCGGCGGGGCTCGAGGCAGGCGGCCCTGGCTTTAGGGTCTTGGCGGCCACACAGCTGGCGGCAGGGCCTTCCCTTCAAAACCAAAACCCACTCCTCTCACCTCGTCCGTCTCCTGAGCGACCCCTGCCGTCCTCCTCTGGTGGTTCCCCTCCTCCCCGCCCTTTGAGGACCCTCGGCGTCCTCTTTCCACCTCAGGGACCCTCACCCTCCTCCCTTCTCCCCGGTGCCTCCCACCCACCTCCTCCCTGCTCCCGCAGCCTGAGTGGCCCCCCCACCTCAGGGACTCTTCCCCCTTCTTCGTCCTCATGAGACCCCCACCCGCCTTCCAGGAGACCCTCACTCCCCTCCCCTCCGCTTGCAGGACGCGAACCTTCCCCTCCACCCCTCCCTCCGGGCCCACCCTCACTCCACGCTCCGTCACTGACGCCCGCCGGCTGCCCAGCGGACCGTCTCCTCCACTCGCCTTGGCCCAGCCTTCACGCCCCATCTCGGGGTCCTCATGCTCACCCCTGCTCCCCAACACCATCCTCTCCTCCTTTGCCCTGGCCCCTCCTGCTCTTCTTGGACCCCTGCCCTAGTCCTAGGCACCCTGCACGTAAAGAGTAAAGGAGTAGGAGCTCTGGAGGAGGCTGTTGGCTCCAGGGAGCCTGAACAACCATTCCACCCAAGGAACCACTGCCTCAGGAACACAGTGATAATGACCCCGTTGATGGACCTTCCTGGTTCCACAGTTTTTTTGAACCCTAACAAACGTGTTTAATTCCCATGTTGTAGTTAGGACACAGACTTTCGGAGAGGCCAGGTTACTTGGCCACAGTGGGCCAGTGAGTGGCGGAGCCTGGACTCCCTGTCTGGCCCTGAGGTGGAAGAGTCATGACCCACAGCAGTTCTAAAGTGATAGTCACCTGAAGAGGATCCCAACATGTGCCCTTTTGGCGCTCTCAGTTTAGATTTCTTTTTTTAGACTTGAGTTGAAAATTAACTGTTGCCTCAATAAATTACTGACAGATATGAATAGAACACTGAAGTATGTGCTTTCCTGGCACACAAAATCTAGTGTATAATTTATCATGGAACTTGTATGAAATTTCTGTTGCTTTATAGGAGTAATTGCTGTTTAGTGTTTTCCTTTGCACTAGTACATAGGAAATATACCTGAGCTTGGAAATTTTCATATGTGAGAAAGTTTCCTTGCCTCTTCTGCAAAATGTATTTCCTTGTCCACTTTATTCTGTTATCAAGAAGACACTGAAAAGATAATCATAAAAACTCTTGCATTCTTACTCTAACCGACTTCTGTGACTTGTCAAAGATCACTGGTCCCCTTACCTGTTCATTTTTACCTTCTAGCTGATGATTAGGTGAAGGTTGCTTAGTAATACTTTGTAAGTCTAATCGTGATGCTTAGAATAAGTATGCAAAGCTTTGGTGTTGTTTTGGGTCTTTTTGGTACCGGGGATCGAACTCGGGACCTTGCACTTGTGAGGCAGGCGGCGGTAACACTGAGCTAAATCCCCGGCCCAATGCAAAGTTTTGAACTCCAGTCTGCCTAAACTATATTATCTATTACCATTAAAATCTGGTTAGAGTGGTGTTTTAAACATTTTAAACTAGTGCCAAACTTAAGTTTAAAAATAATTACTTTCTTAATGTAGAAGTCTATAGGGCAAGCTGGGTTTGATGGCATGTGCCTGTAATCTCACCAGTGAGGAGGCTGAGGCAAGAGGAGTGATGAGAGTTTGAGGCCAGCCTGGGCTACATGGTGAGCTCAAGGCCATTCTGCACTACAAAGCGAGGCCCTGTCTCAAAAAAAAGTTGTATCAAAAACAAAAATACAGTACATATTGAAGAGTGTGGGTGCAGCACTTGCCTAGTGTGTACAAGGCCCAGTATGGGAAAAGAAAACATTTTAATTAAAAACATATTTTGAGTTTATTTACAGAAGGTCTTTACAAATTCTTCTGATTCCTGCCTGAACCCACCTGCCCTGAAAGTTCAATTCCTCTCTTTTTTATTTTTTTTTTCATTAAGTTTATTGGGACATTTAGGTCAGTTCCCCTCTTGAGACTACTTGAAACTGCATGAAACAGGTCATACATTACTTTAGCTTTGCCTTCTGTATCTAGACAAAAATTTCTGTTTTCTTATTTCTAAATTGTGTGTTTTTGTTTTTTTGACACAGGGTCTCACAGTATAGTTCAGGCTGGCCTCAAACTTGCTGAGATCCTCCTGCCTCAATCTCTTGAGTGCTGGGATTACAGGTGTAGAGCCACCATGCCTGACTTATTTCTGGATTTTGTCTAGACTGTTCACATTTTTGTTATATGAAGTCCAAAACTCAATATGGTACTTACCATAATTTAATCTCACAGAATTACTGGCACATGCAGATAAATTTTGTTAAGCTGATTGATCAGTTATTAGACTTTAATTTAGTTGGTTATTCATTTTAAAGATAATTTTTTGTTGTTACCACCTGCCCAGACTTGACATATTCCCATTTATTTGTTTTTAGTAAATATAGTTCTGGTTTTTTAATCTTAACTTTGATGTTTTTCATTCAGTTAGTTTCAACAAATAGTTGGTGTGGGTATGGGTGTATGTGTATATAAGGAGCAGAAAAAGGTACACAGAGTAAGGCACCTGTTTCTGAGGTACAGGGAGTGTAAGAAAATAACACTAATTGAAACAGAAGGCTAATTTACAACTTTATAAAACTTTAAACAAGGAAAGAAAACATTGGATTTGAGGAGGTATGGACAGGAAGATGTGTATCAGGAAAGATTTTCAAGAGGATATGGCATTTGAGCTTATTCAAAGAATAAAAAATGTTCCCAGGGATTTGTGAAGTATGTTTATGGACGTTAATAGTCAAGATTGGCCAGAATGTAGTGCATATTTGAAGAAGCAATGAGATACAAGGTTGAGATCCTATTGGGTAAATACTTGACCAGAGTGAGGAGTTTGAATTTAACTTTGTGAGAACAAAAAGGTTAGACTATGAGAGATGTTACTGGGGAAATACCACAGTGTGCTTGAGTCTCAGACTGTCATTTCCACTGTAATCCTATCCCCACTTCCAAGTCTTTGCTTTTGTAAATAATTTTCTTTTTCATTGGCATAAGTAAATGCTCTGTTAAGACTAATTTTTTTAGTAAAATCTTACGGCTTGCTTGCAGAAATCAGGTAGTACAGTGTTAATTGTAAACTTTAGTGATGAATACTTGGTGTTTTCTAAGATTTTGCCAACTTTTCTGTTTACAGTTTGAACATGTTATAGTATATTCAGAGAAGAGTCCTTTGAACATCACTTGTTTCCTCAGACTGTTAGCCTACATTTTTATTAGTACAGCTAAACTCTGTACTTGTCTTCTACACCTCTTGACTTAGTTCTGAGACCAAAACTCCACTGAAATGGTATTTGTATCTTGTAAAAGTCAGTAGTTGGGCCGAGGATTTAGCTCAGTGGTTCCACCACCTGCCTTGCAAGCGCAAGGTTCCAAGTTCAATCCCCGGTACCAGAAAAAAAAAAAAAAGTCAGTGGTCAATTTTATGTCTTTATCCTGGTTGATCTTTTAGCAGTGTTTCATTCACTTAAAAATAATTGAGTGCCACGTGCTGTTCTAGGCTGTCTTACAGGTGGACTAGGTAAAGACCACTGCTTTGTATAGAGCTTATGTTTAATGGCAAAGAGACAGAAAACTAAGTATGAAAAGTATATAGAATGTTAGAAAGCAATGTTATAAGGAACAAAACTGGGAGGAAGAATAGGAAATACTGGAGGTGTTTTTATTTTTATTTATTTTTTGGTACCGGGGATCGAACTTGGGACCTTGCGCTTGCGAGGCAGGCACCGGAACCACTGAGCTAAATCCCCAGCCCTACTGGAGGTGTTTTTAAAGAAATTAGCCAAGGGAAAGGCTCCTAAGGTTGAAAAGTAGGTAACATTTGTCCCTCCCTCCTGAAACACTTTGCTCTCTGGACTTTCTTAATCCCTGCTTCCCTTCAGTTATTGGCTGCTTCTCCCCTAAGTGTAAGAATTAGAGTACCCCTGGAACATGCCCTGTGTCCATTTGTTTTTCTTTTCCAAAGTGCTATCCAGTCCCACAGCTTCAAATACAACCCTTAGACTGATTTTGAAAGTTACGTCTAGGCTTAGTCCATTTTCCTGCATGCCAGATTAATAGCCAGCTGTTTGCTGTTTCCAGGAGACATCTAAAATTTTAAAAATTAAAAAAAAACCTAATTTATTTCCTCTCTCCAACCTTTACCAAAAAACAGGCCTGCTCTTTCCTAGTCTTTACTAGTTCAGTGAGATTCACCATTTACTCATTTATTCAGACCAGAAGCCTAAGAGCAATTCTTGATTCCTTTTTCTGCACTCAACTTCCTTCTTTCCTTCTTGCCCTTTTCCAGTGCTGTAACATAGTCAGAGCTGCTAAATGTGTCACTTTGACTGTTGTCATGGCCTTACAGGTCTTTACTCCCATTCTCGTCTGTCTGTAATTCATCCTCAATGTGACCACAGTGAGCATTAAAAAAAAAAAAAACCAAATCAAAGCACTTCCCAGTTTAAAACTCTCCAGTGGCTTCCCCTTGCACTTAGAATAAAATCCATGTTTCTTACTATGAACCTTTTTTTTGGTACCAGGGATCAAACTTGGGTCCTTCCACTTGCACAGCAGGCGGTGAAACCACTGAGCTAAATCCCCGGCCCTCTTAC